AAACCACTTCCAGGGAGATTACATACTGAAATAGTAAAGTCAAAACTTCAGAAAGTAACTGTAACAGATTATCTTTATGTCCTTGAGAATAGGAAAGGATTCTTAATTAAATCACACAAAGAGTGTTTACCAGAAAGGAAAAGACGTACTTAAATCAATTCCACAAACCACGATTAGAATATCTACATACACATCAAAGGAAACCATAGAGAAAGTGAAAAATCAAGCTATAGAATGGGAGAGAATATTTGCCACTCTTATAAGTGACAAGATTTAGTATTTAGTATTAAACTAAAAAAAAAAAATAAAAACCTCACTGCCATGAAGTCAGATCTGACTCATAGCGACCCCTACTTGGGTTTCCAAAGTGGTATCACTATGGAAGTAGGTTGCCCAAGCTTTCTTCCAAGGAGTGGCTGGTGGGTTTGAACTGCCCGCCTGCTGACTAGCAGTCAAATGCCTTAGGCACTACACCACCAGAGCTCTTCTACAAATCAGTGAGAAAGAAAATGACTCCAATGAAATTGGGCAGAAGTCCATAAACAAGCCCCAAATGGTCAATAAACATGAATAAATATGAAAACTTGTTAATAACATGAAAAAGAAATTTTCATGTTACAGTGTGCTATGACTTCAAAACTACACTTATTGTCACAACATTGTTAAGTAAGTATATAAAACTATGAGAACTCTTATACAAAGCTTGTTGTTGTTGTTTTCATGTGCCACCAAGTCGGCCCCGACTCATAGTGACCCCTCCTTGGGTTTCCGAGACAGTATCACTACGGAAGTAGGATTGCCCAACCTTCCTTCCCAGGAGGGGCTTGTGTGTTTGAACCGCCAGCCTTCTGGTTAGCAGTCAAGTGCTTTTAGCCACTATGTACCAAAGCTTATGGAAGTGGAAATTGCTAAAACTACTATGAAAGCAAGCCATTTCACATTACATGGGGATATATATATTTTTTAATTGTGATTTGGGTGAAAGTTTAGAGAACAAATTCATTTTCCATACAGCAGTTCACATACATATAGTCTCATGACATTGACTGCAATTTCCCATAATGCAACAGCTCTCTTCCCGATTCCTCCCCATAGTTACCTATTCTTAGTGGGGATTTTTTGATGTGAAAGGAATTAAGCACTACAAACTATTAATCATTATTGTTTTATAGAAATTAGAATGTGAGTTTTAATTGCATTGCTTTTTGGTGCTAGAAATGTAGTGAAATATTATTATTTCTAATAATATTAGTATTGGTCTCTTATTTAGTTCAGGCTTCCATTACAAAAGATGACAAAAGAAAATAAATAAATAAATAAAACTGGATTACTGGATTCTCTAGGGAAGCAGCATGTTTAAAAAGATCAGTAAGAGTTTATGGGAGAAGAGTTTGAAGCTGGTGATCAGCTTTGATCACTACCTACACAAGAAAAACAGCTGTGGTGAGTGTTTCAATATTGAATGAGGAAAAGGGAAATATTTTATGGAAACTCTGACAGAACCTTATGTTCCTTGAGCTGCATTTGAAAAAGCAAGATTGTTAACTCTAACAACGAAGACACTAACTTCCTTGAAAATGAGCAGATTAACAAAATCCAATTATCAGATTTAAATAAATATTCTATGATAATGAGTCATTTAAGGAAAATCAGTTAGTTGAAAAAGGTTAATATTTTATGTGTTTATGTAACCATTCAGTAAAATAATTTTTAAGCATTTCCTCAAGTAATTCCTAATAGCACTATGAGAAACAGATCCGTAGATAGATATCTTTTGTGCTTTTCACTCTGGTGCTCTGGTAGTGTGGTGCCTGAGGCATTTGACTGCTAACCAGAGGGCTAGCAGTTCAAACCTACCAGCCACTCCTCAGAAGGAAGACTCGGCAATCTACTTCTGTAGTGATACCACTTTGGAAACCCAAGGTGGAATCACTATGAGTTGGATCCGACTTTATGTCAGTGAGCTTGGCTTTTTAGTCTAATGCTTCTGTGTGCCAATTACTAATATAGAAATATTTAGATTTAATGTAGCATTTGAATTAGAAAAACCAAATGATTGGGGCTCAGATGCTCAGATATTATGTGACTTAAATACTCTGAGCCTTCTTTTTCTCATAATAATGTCTGTGTGGATTAAATTATTTAATGATGATTTCTAGCACAACGTCTGTCCTATAAAAATGAACACTTAACAATTTTTTTCCTTCTCTGTTGAATTATAATTACTTGTGCAAATTTGGCTAATCAAACTATTAAATGATCTAAAATAAGAATTAAATATGGACAATAATGTTGTTTTTCACTTTACTGACTCAAGGAAAAAGAGGTAAGAAAAAAAAGGACTGAGTTTTACTGAATTACTTAATATGGTCCTTCTAGTCATAGTCTTTGTAACTATCCCCAAATGACTAGAAGGGACTATGCAAATGTTAGGGGCCTGTGGCCCACCAAGGAGATTGGATATCTTGCTAATAATGTAAACACTTGTGGGAGTTGGACCTTGGAAATAAGTTATACAGAATTCCAATGTGGAGGTTGCTCAGATTTGCCATCCTACTGGGCTTAAAGCGAGCCATTCCAGAGCTGAAAAGAGGGGTCTGGCTAACACCAAGAAGAAGAAAAGGGAGCAAAGCATTTCTTTTGACCTGTGGTCCCTAAGCTTGGAACTCCCTTGACCTAGGAGACAGAAAGCTTTAACACCAGAGAGGAGAGAAGCAGATGCAACCAAGACAGAAAAGAGAGCAGAATCAGGAGACCAGTAGGACACAGCGTGGTGGGCTTCTAGACCCAGAGACTGAGAAAGCTGAATGCCATTGGGCAGGGAGTTTGCTGGTGGAGTGCGGTGGCTCTGGGCAGTTATTGCTAGAACTAAAACAACTTCATTACACTTGCCTGAGCAAGGCAGAGGACAAGAGACCACAGGGCCAAAGTGCCAAGGACACAAAGACAGGCCTGCCTTCAGCACAGGTGAGAAAATGTTGTCTTGATCAAAGAACTGTATCCAGAGTGTTCCTGAACTTGGATAGTAACCTGTTACTTCACTAATCAACCCCATAATTGTGAGTATTGTCTGTGAGTTCTGTGAGGCCATTACAATGTATGATCATACCCAATAGTGAAGTAGAGAGTGTCATGTAAGAGACAATGGTGTCAGAACTGGTAAAAAGGTTGAAGAGTGGAGGCAGGAGAGGCAGATTCTGTCTCAAAAGAATCCTCCTTAGGCTGTTGATGCTGATAATCATCCTCCAAGCCCCTTGAGAAGTTAGAATAGGAGGTCAGATGATAACACCTCTGTCATGCCATTTTTCCAAAGACATGGAAAGGAAGAAATTATGTCAGAAGCAACATAAAACTGCTCCAACAGGGTTGCTCCAAATTGCTCTCTAGTTCCTCCTTGTTTTCTATTATCTGGTATGAGGTTTTGGTGAAAATGGATAAAGCTGGGAGCTTTCTAGATAGATTAATTTTATGTTTCATTTTCACAGATTAAGAGAAAGAGACTTTACATTTGGCAACCAAACAATCATTTTTAACATTTTACTTAATTGAATATCTATCTTTACTGTAAATCTGAAACCACTGACCCATGTCAGACAGTAGAATGTACTACTGAAATGTACAAATGCCAAGTTCACTCTTCAGGGAAGAGAAGAATATGAGAGGCAGAATAAGTCTGGATTTCAGTAGGAAAGACTGGCATCACATATTAGAAAAATTGCAAAGCATACAAGAGCTATTGAATTAATCAAGGAAAGTCTCTCTCAAAATGATGAGGAATTGGGAGGGAAGGCAGGCCTCAGAATTTTGCTAGTACAGTGGTTGAGGCATTCAGCTACTAAACAAAAGGCTGGTGGTTCAAACCCACCAGCCACTTAAAGGGAGAAAGATGAGGCAGTTGGCTTCCTTAAAGATTTACAGCCTAGGAAACCTTACAGGCAGTTCTATTCTGTCCCATAGGATTGCTATGAGTCAGAATTGACTAAATGGCAGTGTTTTTTGGGGGGAGGAGGGAAAGTTATGAACTAACTCATCAGCCCTCAAACTGAAAAGGTGTCCTAGTGACCAAGTGGTTAAGTACTCAGCTGCTAACTGAAAGATCAGTGGTTTGAACCCAATAGCTATTCCATGGGAGAAAGACATGGAATTCTGCTTCTGTAAGGAGGCAGCTTTGGAAATCCGATGGGGCAGTTGTATGCTGTTCTATAGGGCCACTGTCAGTTGGAATTGAATAAATAGAAATGGGTTTGGTTTGGGTTATCTTCAAGAAGGAGAAATTTTGGTATTTCTCTTCCACAAAGCCCAAAATACTGGACAAGGAAACAAAATTTCATTTTTTGCTTCTCAGAAATGGATATTGCTTTATTTCTTTTTGAAATTCTCATTTGATGTTGCAAATAATAAGAGAAAGTGAAACAAATGAAGATTCAGAGATAAAGTTAAATTTGTTTTTGTTATGTGTTCTCAAGTCAGACCCGACTCATAGCTACCCCTCCTTGGGTTTCCAGGCAGTATCACTACATAAGTAGATTGCCCAAACTTCCTTCCGAGGAGTGGCTGGTGGATTTGAACCGCCAGCCTTCTGGTTGGCAGTCAAATGCCTTAGGCACTGTGCTACCAGACCTCCTCACTTAAGTTAACTTAACTAAGTTAAGTTAGATACCAGAAAATGCACCAGGAAATTGGATTACACACTGAATCTGAGAATAACATGTACCTCTTTCCTGTGCAAAACTTTTTGCTCTTGATTTCAATGAGATTTCCATTAGATAAGATAATAATTGGAAAGGAAAAAACACTATATAATTTGACCCTTTGGTCCACAATTTTAGGGGCTCTCCCTATGATATTGTTTGACAGGAAGGGACTTTAAGGATTATCCTGTCCAACCAGCTAATCCATTTTTCAATTCCCAATACTATATTTCCTCTACAGACCCATTCCATTTGCTTAAAAAAGGCAGTACACTATATAAAAACGCAACACATACAATTTTCAGATCTGTAGTCAA